AACAAAGGAAACAATGGGCCGACCACTTCAAGAAGCTCTTGAATCGACCACCACCACCACCACCTGGACTTCGTCCAGAAATACCACCTACAGCCCAGCTACAGAACTACAAGTGAACATAAATCCTCCGACATAAGTGGAAGTCTTGAGTGCCATAAAGCTACTGAAATGTGGGAAAGTAGCAGGACCAGCTGGGATCTTGCCAGAAGCACTGAGAGCAGACGCAGAGACAACAGCGGATATGCTCACACCACACCACTATTGCAGAAGGTGTGGAAGGAAAAGAAGGTAACTGCCAGGCAACTGGAAGAAGGGCTAGGTGGTCACACTCCCGAAGAAGGGAGACCTCAGTGTTTGCAAGAACTGGTGCGGAATCACTCTCCTGTCCACCCAATGCAAGCAAAATTTTAAGCCGCATCATCCTGGAGAGATTAAAGGATGCACCGGATTCAAAACTACGACCGGAACAGGCAGGCTGGCTGGCTTCAGGAAGTACAAATCATGTGCCGACCAAATTGCAACGCTTCGCATCATCATAGAACGGAGTATAGAATGGTAGTCAACTCTACATCTCAACTTCATCGACTTTGAGAAGGCCGTTGATAGCGTCGACCGAGAGGTAATTTGGAAACTGCTTCATTACTACGGAATACCATAAACCTCTATCAGCCTCATTCAACAACTATATTAAGACACCATATGCCGGCCAAGTTACTCACAATGGGAAGCTCAGTGATGCTTCTGAAGTGAAGTGAAGACAGGAGTGAAACAAGGTTGCCACCTACTATCACCCATGATATTCCTGATTGTGGTCGACTGAACTGGACTGGATGATGCAGCAAATAGTGGGGAGCTGTGAGAAGAGGAGAATACACTGGCTGGACTGAGGAAAACAACCTAGAAGATCTGGATTTCACCGATGACTTGTGTCTGATATCACACAAACTTGAAGATCTACAGGCGAAAACTAACAAGTTGGCAGAAGAGTCAGGGCAGTGAAGGGAGATGGGACTTCAAGTGAATATAGAGAAGACAGAGGTGATGAAGATACCACACCAACAACTCCAACAACAACAACAACAACAACAACAAACTCCAATCACCATGAACGGGAGAAACTTAAAGGAAGTAGCCTTCTTCACCTATCTAGGCAGCACTGTTTCAACTACAGGTGGCGGCACAGACGAGGATGTCAAAGTCAGTCAGGATCGGAAAGGCAAGAGAGGCGTTCATTAACCTGAAACCAGTGTGGAGATCTTCTGCACTCAGCATAAACAACAACATCCGGATTTTCAACACCAATTCAGTCAAGTCAGTGCTCCTGTATGTTTGAGAGACTTGGTGTGTTACGAAAGAGATTTCCAACAAACTGCAAACATTCATCAACAACTGCCTACGCTAGCTCATTACTGAAGATCAGATGGCCAGAATAATGAGAATAAGCAACAAGGAACTCTGACTGGACAACGAACCAACCAAGAAGGTATCGCTCAACAGCTATGCAGTGGAAGGAAGTGGAGATGGATTGGGCATACACTGAGTAGGCCGAGTGGGGACATCACACGTCAGGCCCTCGAGTGGAACCCCGATGGGAAGCGACGAGTTGTGCGAGGGTGTCCGAGGTGAGGGTGACATGGAGGAGATAGTGTGAGGAAGAAATGAGAGCTTGTGGGCAGTCTTGGAGCCAGGTTGGAAAGAGTGCAGAGAGGAGAGTGGAATGGAGACGTGCTACTGAAATCCTATGTTCCACTAGGAACCCAAGGTACAAATAATAAATAAAATCAGCAGTCACAACTGATTTCTTGGGCAGTATAGTATCATCGCCAAACTAGATCTATCGGTTTCACCTTGTTTGATGGAGAGTATTTGGAGAAAACCTTCAAGGCATCATAGATTACTTCATGAAAGTGTGGTAGACTATGGCAACTCAACAGACTTGAGTTTATCAGAGGTGAACGACTATCTAGACAGTCTTAAGCTTTATTTCCCAAGAGAACAAAGGCTTAATCAAGGTTTTTGCACAAATCAGCGTTTTGCGATGTTATAATGTCTGCTTTGTTTCCCATCCATTTCAGCTGAATAATTTTTTTCAAAACTTGGAGAAAGTGTGACCGAAGGTGGTGTATCTTGTTCCACATAATTTTCTGTATGCGCTTTTACCTACTATTTATTTGTTAGTAGCATGATTGCAGATAATTTTTTCCAGATTGTTAGAACGATGGATCAATACTCATTCTAAGGCTAATTCACCCTTTTTAACGCTTATATACCACAACTTATAAACTTGAAAACTAAAAAGGTAAGCAGTTTGATGCCTCCTTTGGTTCGATATAATAAAAGGTACATAAAACGGAGTACTTATTCCATGAGGTAATTTCTATATTTTCGGAGTCCTGTGGTAGGAAGTCCCAAATTACCTAAAATTCATGGATTTTACAGTTCATAATCTTATCATATCTTAGGACTTGAGGAAAATTACGTTCTACAAGGGTTCAGGCATGTTTTTTCTAGCCATGCGGTCGGAAAAGTTTCTGAATGACCCCCATCCATTGTATAGGAATTAGTCATGTCACATCAAGATATGCAGCTGTAAGTTTCTGAGTGTTGTTCGAAATATATCATTCAGGGAAACTAAGACAAGCGAAAGCAGTTTCATTTTTACGGTCACATTTTTTTGCGTTATGATCGGACAGCATCGTGATTCTACTTCTATTTATGTCTTCGATTCGATGGTTAAGTGATATTGTCTTAGCATGCCTAATCTTTTCCTTAGTTATTGAGATTTCGGAACGGAACTAGTTTGGTATTAAGAATTACAACTACTTACGTTGCATATAAAGGAAGATAAACAGTATGACTGAAAGCAGTTACAACGAAAGCTCTGGTTACGACATGATTCGAACAAGCTGCCTCCTCGCTGTCAATTTAATTCCCTTTATGGCTATTAGCAAGTTTTCGTTCCAGTACTTGAGTCCTTTGTTTTATGCGAGTATACCATTCGTAGACATCACAACTGTCATAGGTGTACGGGAACGGAAAGCATTCTTCGTCGAGTTACCGTAAGTACTATGGTTGAATGAGTGTTAGTTCATGTTTCAATGGGTATCCTAGTAGTGGGTAATTATTATATTGGATTCAATGATTATTGAACTAATCATTTAGTTATCTTATGATAAAAATCTTTTTATTCCTATCTTAAAGAAAACCTCAATACTTTTAACTGTCGACGAATTCATAAAACTTTTAAAATTATTACATGGACCAACAAAAAGGAACGAATAAGTGATCCTGCACGCATGTACCCTGTTTTAATTCATAAATCTACCAATTTCAGGCAGAATAGTAAACATTTACT